TGGGGGTGTGGTCAGTGGTTGGCGCTAGTGGATAACCTCACGGTGTTTTATCTTCCAGATGACGCAGAGATTGTGAAGACGCGGATGAATAAACAGGCCGGCCGGGAGGAGTTCTACGTCCATTACGTTGGTTGTAAGTAACAGACGGAAAACACGTTTTCCCGACCGCCCGCTTCGTGAATGATCGGCTGCTTCCTCCTGAAGTCTTTGTTTTTATATCACTGACTCTCTTCTGTATAAGAAGGATGTCCTCTGCCGGGATCTGAGTCCCCTGTGCCGCCTGGTGTATGATCCGGGTGTCACCACGTTCACTCAGGAAGTGACTGTGGAAGGCAGAGGTGCCGGGCGTCCCGTGACTTCACTTTCAGCATTGTTACGTTATTGTTACACAACATTCATGTCTCTTGGCGGTATGGAGGCTGTTGCAGGGTCCTGTCCACGGTACGCTGGCTACATACATTACAATCTTCAGAGGCTCCACCCCTAAAATGCACATTTAGTATGCAAATGCGTTTTTTGGGTATAATGTTCATTTCCAGTAGACCTCCAACACACGTCAGCGGTGTGAACGTTGCATCAGTATATGTTGCAATGCGCTGGTCACAAATGGGTCTATCACTTTAAGACGGTGACCGGCTTCCCATTTGGCCATACACGCACATATGTGGCATTGGGTTTTAGCAGCGTGCTGCTACATGAGTATAGTCAGTGTCTGGGGGCCACACTTAGACACGGGTCCCCGACCAGTGAGACTGCGCTGTCACTGACGGCTCTTGGTCACTGTTTACAATTGAGAGCTGGTAGGATGGGCTCCTGATTACGTGACAGACAATGGGTGATCACATGATCACCACTTAAAGGGCCAGCTACCAATGACACGAAGGACCCATAGGAAAGGAATGGGTGGAGGCGGCTCAGTGCACATCATCACATGTATGTGCAAATTGGACCCAGTTGTAATGCATGTGGCCGGCTGCAGACGCTCGGGAGCTTTTCAGGTCAGATGAGGGAGATGTTCTAGATAAATTGGCATGATGACAGGATATAGAATTCCCCTCTGACCTTTTAAGAGGCGGTCATTGGCTTTGCGAGTAAATTTTGCACCCGTCCCTATGTGAAAAGCTCTCGTGTGATCTCACCCTCATGGTAAAGCTGGCCATACAGTAAACATTTGGGGGGAATCTTCCCTGCCGGCTATTGCGTTCTGACCGCTGGCTCCGGAGCTGTCGGTATGCCTGAGCAGTGACTGCAGCTGATTGGTCTCTGTTCAGCTGACTTTTATTTCCCCCAATTGAAGTCTCTTGAGCCGAGTGGTGTCAGCAGGGCTGCCCACGGCTGAATTTTGGCCGATTTTATAGAAATTGGAGCAGTGTATGGCCAGCTTAAGAATGTCCCAATAGTGGCAGAGCCGATCTGCATCGAGCCCCGGGTGACATTTCACTCCGTGTGAGAGTCCATTACGAATCGGTAGGCTGCCATCGCTGACGTCCTGGAACATGCAAGTTGCATGATCGTTATGCGTGATGGCTCATCAGCGCTTCAATAAAACTTTATTGTCCCATTGCAAGGCTCAGCTCCTCTAGGTTCCAGGTCTGTGTCTGGGAAAGGTATTGAGGCCAAAGGCAGCCAGGCAGCTAGCATGTTCGGGAGTAACTCAGCGATTGCATCCTCCATATTCCAACCTCCTGTTCTCCCGATTGGTCGGGCTGTAAATTGTCAACTTTTATTCCGGTTTGCGGTTCACATCGGGGCAAATATGTCAATAAGAACAGATTGGCAAATTGTTTTGTTACCCGTGCCGGCTGTCCGACGTCCAGCAAGTGCACCTTCCATCGCGTGTACAATGCATTCCCGTGTATGGAATCCAAGACTGGCATTCACATTATTATGCAGCTTAATGAGGAGCAGATCGGAGGGCGGTCTGGTGTACAGCCGTGATCGGAGGGCGGTCTGGTGTACAGCCGTGATCGGAGGGCGGTCTGGTGTACAGCCGTGATCGGAGGGCGGTCTGGTGTACAGCCGTGATCGGATTGTTGCCCCCTCGTTATCTGGTGGTGTTGGAGGACCTCACAAAGCTAGTCCCCCAATCCCTCCAAATAATCCCACATCTGATGTCCATCTGGACCTGGCAGTGTAGTCCCACGTAAGCACAGACCTTACTTATGCATTGCCGGGATCTAATAAGTCAGCCGCTTGCTGGTTTGCTTCCAAGATGGCGGTCAGTAGCCCAGATGCTTCCAGCTGCTAATAACAGACGGAAGGAGCGTGAAGGGATTTCCAGGTCGATTGATTTATACTTTGATTGTTCTGTCCACCTTTTCTCTGTAGCCT